GGGGTAAGAGATCAACCAAAGGACTTTTATGCATGCATATGAGCATAACCAATGGACACAGACAATAGAGGGGTGGGGACATGTGCTGGAGGGTGGGGGTGGCCGGGGAGAGGTCACTGGGTAAAAAGGGAGACTTATGTAATACTTTAAACAATAAATAATTTAAAATAATTTTAATTATATAAAAATGCATATACATATACAAATGCAGATATATATTTTAGAAAAGTAAACAACTTTTATCATGTGTAAATGAAATCCTAAAAAAAAACAACTTAGTACGTGCTACTTGATTAGGTGAGTGGCTTGACAGAATTAGTAATAAACATTTAAGTAATCAGAGTACAGTGGAGGTGAAAATCTCAAATATGCCACCTTAGTTGCCACCCTCTAACCCAGCCAGGATCCACTTAGGAGATATATTCTACTTTCACTTACCATGAACTTCGAAAGACTTAGCTGAAAGTCAATACACAAAGGTGGTAACATTGGTTTTAATCACATATCTAAATGTTGAAAAACCTCCAATTATTCTCTAAATGTCCATTTTTAGCAACTATTTACACAATGTATAAGTGTTTATTAAAATAGTGTTTCTCTCTCTCTCTCTCTCTCTCTCTCTCTTTCACACACACACACACACACACACACACACACACACACACACTAATAAGGACCAAACTAACTTTGCTAATAGATTCATACATTTATCTCATCTAAATATATGTAAAAGTCTGCTTACCGGACAAAAATGCAATGTCTTGCATTAAGAAATGACTGATGTCTTTTACACAGAGATGCAGCTCAGAATCTATGACAAATAAGAAAGAGAAACAACATATATGTTAAAGTACAGCTAGAACCATACACATGATTGCACATTGTGCTAAAAAGAACTCCAGGGGTCCCACAGATCTGTGTCCACAGACATGTTGCTGATCTTCCCTTCTTTACTCGTCAGCTACATGGCAGGGAAATCTCACTGTTGAAAACATCACTAAATAGGACCAGTGTCTTAGTTCTCACAATCTATGCCCAGGATATAAACTACTCTCATTTGCCAGAAAGCCAGGGGCAAAGGTCAAAACTCTGAATATATAGGATGTCCCTAAAAAATGTATACACATACATTTTTGAGAGCTCAATTGATGTTTCTTTATTTTCAGATTTAACATATTGGAATTAATAATTATTCAAAGTGTGTACACATTTTTGGGATACCCTGCATATTTAAAGGTAGATAGCCATGGAGGCACTAAGGTAGATAGTCATGGAGACACTATCAAACTATCTTCTACTTCTGATAATGCCTTTTATGCCACAAAACTTTATTGGAAATTACAAATCACTTCTCAGATCTCTTATCTTATTAAATCCTTAAAATAACCTGAAAGGAAAGTATTATTATTATCCCATTTTATAAGTCAGGAAAAGAGTTGGAGAGTAAGTACAGTGAAACATGTGGCTTTTGAGTCAGACAGACCTGAATTCAAATCTCAATTTGTTGCATTTACAGGCTGTACAAACAAGTGCAAGTTACTTAGGCTCTCTGAGCCTGTTTACTCACTTGTAAACTGGGCATAATAGCATCTACCTCACAGGGTGCTGTGCCAAATAAATGCAAAATACCTGACATAATAATAGGTCTCTTATAAACAGTATCATATTAACTCACCTTTGATCATTACAGCAGAAGAATATCCACGCACTCATTGTTCAATATGTTTTAGTTGTCCCTGATCTTAAGTGCTGATTTCTAATGTTCAATTCTAGTGAACTCTATATAGGAGCCAAAAATCAAAGTCCACTACCTGCCTCTGGTCCATGAGCAAGAATAACTTTTTAAAAGAAAACAGGTCATCAAACTAGGCTATTTTGGATTATTGGTTTTAATGCCTGTGGTTTCACACCTCTTATAGAAGCCATATTTTCCACTTGTCTCTGATACAAAAGGCATTCAAAGACCTAGTCTCTGGTGGTGTCAGGCAGATGACACATTACTCTTCTTAGTGCTCCTCAAATCATACAATATGGATGTGGTTTATCAGGGTAAACCCTGCTCAACAGCATTACAAAAACAAATTCTCAATGGGTCCACACTAGATACCTGAATAGGGTATCTGTTACAGAATGACCCACCCCTCATCCTCCCCCAATTGAAACATAAAGCAATTAATTGACAAATTTATTTTCATAAGATCTATGCCATTAGAAATCTGCAATTTATCAGGACATACAAATCAGTTCCAAAAAAATGTCTTGTAATGTTTTTAAAATGAGGCTCCTGGTATGTCCCAGGCCAAGGAGTACACTTCCACATTGTTGTGTCTTTCTATCCAAAAAATGTTACATGTTTCCTCAGATAAAAGAATGTGTTTCTGTCAGCCACAAATATGTGTCCCACATTGACATTTTTAGACATGGAGACATGGAAGAAGGGTAAGAATGGGAATAATGCAAAGAGGACTAGAACTCTCTCTGCCCTTCAAGGCCTGTAAAAGTGGCAATGCCCCAAATGCTTTCTGACATTTAAATAAGAGCATTAGGCCTGGCTGATGTGGCTCAGTGGTTGAGCGTCAACCACGAGTCATGGTTTGATTTCCAGTCAGGGCACATGCCCGTTTGCAGGCTTGATCCCCAGTAGGGGTGTGCAGGAGGCAGCCGATCAATGATTGACGTTTCTATCTCTCCCTTCCTCTCTCTGAAATCAATGAAAACATATTTTTAAAAGATAAAAAACAAGATGTTTATTAAATAAATAAACAAATAAATAAGATCATTAGGCATTAAAATATTCCTACATAATGAAATTCAAATCCCTCCCTGCTTTGATCAGTAAAAGATAAATTGATGAATTTTATGTCAGATGTCAGAAGTACTAATATCTGCAACTTCGTTTCTCCCACACCATTCAGGTTCCTACATAGGTACAGAAAGATGTCCATTTACTCTAAATTTTTTTAATCCACTTATATAATAAGAGAGGTATCTGGCATAAAATAAAAGGTCAAGGACTGGGAGTGGGAGGCCCTGGACTTAGTACTGGCTCTGTCAGAGAGCTGCTCTGTGATCCTGAGCAAGTCACTCCCTACCCCTCACCTCATTACCCCATTTTATTTTTTTCTTTACTGATTAAGGTATTACATATGTGTCCTTATCCCCTCATTTCCCCACTCCCACCCCTCCACTCATGCCCTCACCCCCCTGGTATCTGTGTCCATTAGTTAGGTTTATATGCATGCATACAAGTCCTTTGGTTGATCTCTCCTCCTTACCCCCACCCTCCCCTACCTTCCCTCTGAGGTTTGAGGATCTGATCGATGCTTCTCCTTACCCCATTTTAGAAGTGAGGGCTATACAACAAATGCTTTCTAAGGCCCCTTACATTCTATAAGATCCAGCGGTGGGTAAAATCCATACATATAAGAAAAAACATACTGATGTTTCTATTGTAAAATGTCTTCCACAACTGAGCCAACAAAATAACATTTCCATACCAACGAAAAAGGATGGAATAACTAAGAGAGAAGTTGATATTATTTTTAGAAATAATAAAGACATGAGCCAGAAACAGACTGAAGAGAGAGGAGATAACACATGAGAGGAAACAGAAGATACAGGTTATCACTGAGGAGCTACAAAAAAGAAATAGTGTCAACTTTATCCAAAGTCAGTACTCTGAGTTCCACTCAGCTTTGTATCTGATGTTCTTGAATTTCTGCACAGATTTACTACTGAAATACAAAAGAACAAATATGATTTATAATGTTCCTTTTGCTAACCCTTTAGACTCTTTTACTCCAGAGCATAATAAGTGAAAAGCCTGAAATAAGCAAACGCTGGATGAAGTCCACATTACAGCATGTTCCTTGTTGGCTAGATTCACATTTGATAGGAGGGTTGTCAAGCTGTCCCAGGTAGGAAGCTCAATTACTTACAAATGAAAAGCATGCATTCTCTTATGACTAGTTTGTAAACCCCAAAAAGGCCAGTTGAGAAGCCAAAAAAGAGGCACTAAGACAATAGGTAATCTGACAAACACCCTCGAAAACACCCACCTGTAGCAGCTTTTCATTTAAGAGCCTTGCCCAAGAACCACGTGCTTGTAAAATAAAAAAACACAATCAGGCACAACTGAAAACAAAAGACAAGAACAGTGCTTGCCAATTCATTCATTCCATAGATTGATCAGGAAGCAAAAGAAACAAGCTTTTATTGTGAAGTTATCACTAATATTTCTTCTAGAACATGAAAGGTAGTTGTGAAAAAGAGGATACAAGCTCCAATTTCAAATATGAAGAAATGTTTAAGTCCTAAAAGGTGTCAAAATAAATATTTAGGGTGGTTCGCAGAGGAGGAAGATATACCCATTCAATTTTGTTTGTGTCACTTGCAGAGATAGAGAACATTTGTCATCTTTATACAAAGTACCCTTTATCGTTTTTAAAAATTTTACATTCCTTAACTTTTTTAAACAAAGATTTATTGAGCACCTACTATATGCCAACTACTGTTGTAAGTTATAAACAGGTGTTCTAGGTAAAAGCAAAGTTTCATGATCAAGTAAGTTTTGTGAAATATTGGGGTTAAATATACTGAAAAATTCCCCAGCAAATACACATACAAGCGATAAACTCCTTGTGTGTGTGAGCTATGTATGCAATGTTTCCCCAAACTATTTGATTACATACCTATTTGTTTGTTGTTTGTTTGTTTGGTTGAGTGTTTCATTGGTTGGCTGGTTGGTTTTGAGAGAGAGGGGAGGGGAGGAGAATAAGAGAACTATAGAGACTCCAGGTGAAGAAGCACTTTGTTCTAGAAAATTTAGATGAAATTATGGTTATGGTATACAGAGAAACCCTTCCCTACCATTATCAGAGTTCATTTTAACTAAGGCTGAGCATCTCTGTGGCAAGGAAGCTAGAGAGGACAATCAAGCATGTAGTTGGACTGGAATAAATGATATTTTATGTACCACTTATCCAAGAGTCTATGCCTCCATGGTTTTGGCATATATTACCATTCCAAGGAATTTCAATTCTACTGAGTTTATTAATGACTCCCACAGGGAAAATTATAGTTTAGAAAGTAAATTGGCATCCATTAGCATTCTCATTTTTTAGAAAGCATTTTTACTCCATATTCCAGCAATATCTCCAACCCTTGAGCTTTTTTTAAAAAAATATATTTTATTGATTTTTTACAGAGAGGAAGGGAGAGAGATAGATAGTTAGAAACATCGATGGGAGAGAAACATCGATCAGCTGCCTCCTGCACATCTCCCACTGGAGATGTGCCCGCAACCCAGGTACATGCCCTTGACCGGAATCGAACCCGGGACCTTTCAGTCCGCAGGCCGACGCTCTATCCACTGAGCCAAACCGGTTTCAGCCAACCCTTGAGCTTTATTTCACAGTGACGCTCTCGTGTATATGTATCCCTTCCCAGGGGTTTCTGTTCATATGAAAATGAACAGGAGTCCTGAACCATGATGCACACACATGCATTATGTCAAGGCAAACAAACTGAATAAAACAGCAAATACCTCTATTCTTAAGTTTTCCAAAAAATAAGAGGCAAAGATGCAGCACAAATAAAATAGAAAGGAAAATAAAGGAAATGTCAACCAGTCGAATACAGTCTCTCCCATAGCACTCAACCCACTGCCACCACCAATATGAGAACAGGGGAAAGCATAGTAAATGATTAGCAATACATGTCATTTGTGGAGCTATGGCTTATAAACAACCTGTGAAGCACTGCATAAAGCAGTTTCTATACATTTTTTCTGGTCTTAACAATAAT